AGTACATACAGTACATATGTGCACAGTAATGAGCAGGTGAAATGTCTGTCTAGCTTACATATGAGGTCTCTCAAGATTTAGGAACATACAATTTTATTGAATATAATAAAAGTAAAAAGTCACATGACATGCTGCTGTTTTGTGCTATGACCTATTTAAGTGCTGGAAGTTGTTATTTACGTGACAACGCCTGAACGCAACACAAGCTCAGCATGAGTGCTGTGCTGCGCTGTTGTGCGAGCAGCTGTTTGTCTGTGCGTAACAGCAGTCTGTTGGTTATTTACACAGTGTCCATAACAATAACTTTGTCAGCTGACAAACTGCACCGGGCTCGGGGTCAGGTTTGGGCAGGAAAATGCGGCCCGAGCCGCTCTAGCGTGCTCACCTGTGTGTGTGGCGGAACTCCGCCGTGCGCAATACAGAGAGCAGAGGAGAATTGTTAACGCGTGATCATGTAGAGACAGAAATGACACGATGACATAACACCATAAATAGTATATTGTTATGTTATTATATGAAGCGTCCGTCGCACAAAATAATATCAATGGGGGCTGTGGGCAGGACATTGTTACACAGCTGTGCCTGTGACTTCAGGCAGAGAGACGGCTGCATCAGAGTCGAAGAGCACATTTTAAAATACATTTATTAGTTATTAACTTTTACTATTTTTAGCAACTTGCCCGATCAGGCAAGTGAGTTGTTAGTTTACATGCCCGACCTTGAGTTTTACTTGCCCCGGGCAATCGGGCAATCCTTATTGTTGAGCCCTGCAGGCCTTTAATTCCTTTTACGTAAAACTATTGCAAAGCAAAGATGGGAAATATGATGTAAAAAAAAATATATATATATTAGTTCACAACACGTACAAGCTTTCCCATATACATAAATTCAAGGGGCTTCCCATCACTTAAGCTGCCGTTTCCTGTTCTTTAGATAACCAGTTTGAGGAACAATTGCCTCTTTTGGTTCAGACTAAACGACATGTTTGTTTGTTCCAACAGATTGTGGAGTCAAAAAATCTGTCTGTCACTTGGCCGACAGACATGACAGACTACATGTTGGTCCACGACCGATCATCCTCCATTGTCTTTCACAACTTACATAATGTCATCGGGTTATTCTTGTCCTATTTTTACTATTAGTACTATTATCTCAGTCACTGTGTGTGTTCATGTTCCAGCTGAACTGTTACTGTAGTGACGTAAAAACTGTCACCAGATGGGCGGAGCTACATTTGAAGTACTGTATGCAAACTGTGCATAATCCTCCACAGGAAGTTCCTGCAAATGTTTCACAATAAAAGCCTTTTTAGAAAGTGAAGGGATTCTCTCAGCTGAAATGATAAGAGGCTTTTAATTTGAAACAGAAACAGGAAGTGTTGAGTGTTGTTGAGTTTGATTAAACTAAAGCCAGAATGATAAATGGTGTGGTGTGTTTGAGATGCAGCTGGTAGCCTCTGCAGCTGTGCTGAGTAAAGGCCCAGACACTATCCGTGAGCTTGATTCCTTTATATCCTCCATTATGAAGAAAGAACATTCTCTGCTAGCTTGATGCTAATGGCAGTACTCAGCGGGTTGATAAAGTGCCTCTGCTGTTTCCTTTTCACTCTGTGTGCTAACATCCCTACAGGAAATATCTAAAAGGCTGGGTTGTTGTTGTCCTACAGTTTCCATGGCAACAGATCGCTTTGTGTTCCTATTGGTCAAAGTGACGACTGTGACGGGAGAAGTCGTGGACGAAAAAAAAAGAAAATCAAACATGCTAGAATTTTTGTCGGGACATTGTGAGGCGTCTCAGGCGTGGCGTTGTGTACTGTGACACACTACACAACATAAAATGATGGATTATGGTGGACGACACTGGTTTTTGTTCACAATCTGAGCCGACACTACGACGCTGTGTCGAGCTATAATCAGACTGATATATTTAGTTTAAACCTGGCTTAAAATGAACTGAACAATTGAATTGTGCAGAATCTAACCGAGCTAATGATGTAGCCTCTCCATATTGACCAAAGTATAAACATTTACTTCTGTATGTGCAATCCAAACAGCTAACTAACATTAGCTCAAGTGGGTAGCTAACAATCCAACCTCTATAACAATGGATAGCATGGCAACCAGACCAGGCCTCTAGTTGAGACAGGCCTTTATTTTTCAAAGTGCGTAGCCACACCGGGCTAGTAAAAGGACTGGGCGGCTGTGGCTCAGAGAATGGAGTGGGTCGTCCATGAATCGGAAGATCAGAGATTCGATCCCAGCTTCTTGTGTGGTAGCTTCTTGGCCACCAGCGTATGAATGTGTGTGTGAATGGATGGTGTCACTCCAAAGTTGTTGAAATCCAATAACCAATAACCACCGAACCTGTTTGTTTTTTTTCCAAACCCAACCACGTGTTTTCATTGTTGGAGGAAAAAAAAGGCAATTTTTGTTGTTGTACTGATGTCGTGCTTTTACTTTGAAAGAGACTGTATGCAAAGTGTACATTTCCTGTGAAAACAGAAGTGTATTTTGAAAACAGACAATGCATGTAACAGGCTGAAGTTGACACGGCGTCCCAGAACGTCAACAACCAACACACCCAGGGTACCTTGGACGTCATATGTGGACGTGGAAAGTCCATGACCAAACGTGGACATGTGACGAGGTCACAGTGAGGATGATGATGGATTTTACGATACTTTGCCCCAAGTTTATTTCCTGCAGGTATAGATACAGTAAAACTGCAATTAAACATCCAGTGTCTTTTACTAGCCCGGTGTGGCTACACATTTTGACAAATAAAGGCCTAGTCTGGAAGTTCTTCGGATGTGTAAAACAGGTTGTTGTCTACCTCAAATTCTGTGTCCATTCCTTAATAGTAGCAGTTATCATTAGTGTTGCTCCACCGTTCTTGTTTATTTTCTAAAACTGACAATTTCACAATAAAAGCTTCACTTCCTGTTTGTTGCATGTATACGGTAGCCACACGTGACCAATATGAAGATTCACAGAGGTCAGGAAAAAAGTAACCTCAAATATTTAACAACCTCTTCAACATTGCAAAATGGATTGAAGACCTGTCTCAAATATAAGCCTGCTGAGTTGAGTGATGAAATAATAGCCATAGAATTTTATGGTATATGTCATTATGCAGGAATCCAGATGTTTTTTTTAACACTTGTAGCTCATCGTACGTGGATCAGTGCATCATACGCAAACAGAAAGTGCAGCTTTTGAGTGTTAGTAAATGTATTGATCGGACTAGTTGAATATTTTGTACTCTTTGCCCTGGTTGCTTTATTTGTTTATCTGGTGATCAGTGTTTTGACAGATTGATCTAATTTTATATGTGACATATATAAGTTTGACATATTCTGTATTTTGATCTGTTTGGGAAGTATTTACAACATAAACAGGTGAAATATTATGTTACTGTTTTTCTCTCCTCCTTGAAAAGAGATTGCACCCAAGCGGCAACTTCCAGGCCTGAGAAATTAATATGAGCATGTGAGAATGAATGAAAAAGTGCCACAAAACTATACTTCCTCTAATCTCCACTAGAGGCTGGCTCCAGGAGCGAGTCACTCCCCATAGACCCCTATGTTAAAATGTAGAAATGAACATGTTTACAGCCTGATACAAAAACTGTGTTGGTCTCTATGGATAATTTCAACGTTCAGGAGGACTGTACGGGTCTGATTTTAAACAAAATCACACCCAATTAAAAGAGAAGAAATTATTATTACTTTGTTAATTTGGAATGTTTTTAAAGAGAACATTTTAGAACAAAAAAACTGTGGGTTTGGAAGGCATGTTGTTTTTTAAAAGTGCCAAATTTACGCCATTTATCACAACCAGGAATTGTCAATTCAAAAATATTAATTCAAAAAAGATTTTTAAAGAAAATGTTTTTACATGAATTTTGGAGGGCATGATTCTTTAAAAAGCATTAAAATGGCACTATTAATCACAGTGAGAAACTGTAAATTAATATTTATTTTGGGATGGAAAAAAAATAAAAACATTTTTAAAGAAAATGTGGGTTTGGAAGGCATGTTTTCTTTAAAACTCGCCAAAATTACATCATTTACAATAGTTACATTGTAAAATGAAAAAGATATATATATATATATATATGTATATATATATATATATATATTNTTTTTTAAGAAAACATTTTTGCAGAAAAATGGAAAAAATTCCACTATTTATCACAGCCAGAAACTGTGAAAACAGAAATTATCACTGGATTTCAAAATCCCGATGGTCCTTGCACACATCATGTGTGGATGATGCTTCATTCAGAAAAAAAAAAAAATAATAATAATAATTAAATCTGAGCAGGTTTTTAAAGAAAACAAGTGGAGGGCATTTTTTCTTTAAAAATTTCCAAAATTACACCATTTATTATAGCCAGAAACGGTAAATTAACAAAAAAAGTATTTATTTATTAATTTCTATTCTAAATTTAACAAAAGAAAAAAAAAACATGGATATGGAAGGCATCTTTTCTTGAAAGATCATCACAATAACACCATTTAACATAGCCAAAAATAAAAGATCTTTTTATATAGAGAGATGTTTTTTTTTGTTTGTTTGTTTGTTTGTTTGTTTTTTCAGAAAATATTTTTCAAGAAAATGTGGGTTTGGAGGGCATGTTATTGTCACAATCATTATTATACTGTTTATCCCAGCCAGAAACTGTAAAAACAGAAATTATTGTTGGATTTTCAAACGTTTGACGGTGCTTGTATACAATGTGCAGATGAAGCTTCATTAAGGGAAAAAAAAAACAACCAAATCTGAGCTTAAGATAGTGATATATCATCAAATCATCAAAATATCTCCAAAAATAAACCGTTTGCATGACAAGAGTGAAAAACTGAGGGTGATGAAATAATGAGTTATAAAAATCTACTAACTCATTTATGGTGGAGAGAGGGTCATGGATTTCCCCCAGTCACTCAGGGAGGGTCACACCACAGCCACCCTCCTCTGATAAATACAGATCGGTCCCTTATTTGGACCTTGTGTCTGTAATCTGGACTTTTATTTTGAAGGAGAGCAGCTGAGCTGCCCCGGAAGCTCTATTCTTTCCTGTGGCTAACTTGACAGTGTTTGAAGAAGATGGCGTCGAGCAGAAACGTCTGTTAGCAGAGTGTCTTTGTTGTGTTTTTAAAGTGTGAAGATGTGTAAAGTCCAAATGCTGAGAGCGTTGGTGAAGCAGCGACTAACTGCGGCTGCTGAAGAGATATTTGGGCTGTTTGAAAGAACGATAGCAGAGTACGAGGAGCAACTTTGTCGCTCAAAAGAGGAGAACGAGCGACAACGGAAACTACTGGACGCTGTTTACAACCCTCAGCTCAGGTTACACAGAGCAGGTTAGTGTGTTCTTCTTCTGTGGTTATAAACACAGAGCAGGTTAGTGT